TTATTATTGTTATTATATTAACCATTAACTGTCCACTGCTAAACACAAGCCTCGCCCATTAGCCCCCTTATGAGCGAGGCCTAAGTGCCCCGACCTTATCAGTAGTCGCCTCGCTTGACCGGCGGTTTGACAACCGCAGTTAGGCTTTGATGATGTTTTAAGTTTCATTAGTCGCCTTTTACGACGTCCACGGAAAACAGCACACGGATGGCCCATTCTATATCGGGACCACACGGCTGATTTTTTTATGTTTGTATAAGGTGACAAACTCCGTAATTTAAAGACTGATTTGGAAATGTCTTTATTTTTATCTAAAGAATATTTAAAGATCGATTCCAAAGAAATCAAAATCTGTTTAGTTTTAAAATCAATCTAATTGGCCGCCATGATTAAAGTCTGTATTTGTTGTGGAGCAAAATCTAAAATTATATGAGCAATATAATAATATTCTCACATGCTACTTACAAAATAATCCAATGCTAAATAACGTTATTTCTTTTTAATTTCAAGTTTTATTAATGGCCCACCTAATGGAAAGTGGTAACCGTCGTCTATAGACATGAGCAGTACCGTAGACACAACAGAGTATACTGTTTCGCCCATGATACTCATGCGTAGTTATTCCTGAGGACTGAGGTGTTCTTCTTCTGTATAATTAATATAAACGTAACGTATATAATTATATTGCCAGATTTTTCAAGGTTAACTGTATCTCTCCATTTGTATTGAACAAATACATTTTTCTTCGCAAGAAAAATCGCAACTTTCTACTTATGCTTTAATTCCTTCTACCCAAAGGTTGTCTGGAAGAGATTGCTTAGCAATAAGACCGCCTTTTGTACTACACTATACGTATTGAAAATTGTTCAACAAATCCTGTTATGTTGGTGCAATAAAGTATTAAATAAATAAATAAATAAAACTTCAGTTGTAATAAAACTCACAAGATATTTTGTAAACAAATTAGATTGAAAATATTTGAACCCGGAATCGTATATCTTTAGGTAGATTTAGCTTCATGGAAAGCATAATTAAGATTCGCATATAAATACAAAACGAACCGCGTATCTTAGTCATCATAGAAGAAAGACGAATCGAAAACGTCCTACAGTTGGAAGCTCAGCCTCGCTCAAAAACAAAATTCAATAAAACGTGCAATAATATTTTGAATACCGTCACAAATCAACCATTAAATATCCCCATTGACCCCAATGTAAATATTGTAAAAGCGTACATTACTGAAGGAATAGTATCAGAAAAGGTTCGACCGTTAAATCCTCTACATAATGGAATAAAGTTACAGACTATGAGCGATAGAGGTTATGGTATAAATGTATGAATTATTTAAGAGGGTGCACAACGTAAGCCAAATTTGGAAGAAAATTTACCATACTGTTTGTATTGTGACAACTTGGTGGAACTGTACTATGTGATTGAAAATAAAACAATTAACATTTTTTTTTTTGATATTTAGAATGGCAAATAAGCTGACGGGCCACCTGATAGAAAATGGTAACCATCGCTTGCATATATGTATAATGACAATCAAGAACAACATGATGCATTTCTAAATATTAATCTTAAATATAGCTGTACAGTGCATTTGCATGTTAATCCTAAAACTTGTATTGTGAAGGTAGATTTAGACTAAAATAACAAAGAATATAGAATACAAGCAAAAATATAAATTGTTGGACAGATAGGTTGACTAAAAGAATAATGCAAGAACTTTATATAACCTCTCTTTTTTGGTTAACAGATTTTAACAGACTGTATTTATTTATTATCAATGAAATATCGGTACGGAAGAAGGGTATATTTATTCTATTTATCCCCACTGGACACACAATGATAGGGACAAGTGGAAAAAAATCCACTTTTACTATTCAGAGGGGAAAGTTGGTAGGAACAAGTGGAACTTGCCGAAATTATTTGCGAATGCATTAATAAAAATGAAAGAATGCTTCTAGAATTCTTACTTAATATCTTAAATTAAATTACCCTAAATTAACTAAGAAATTAAAGGTTGTGCAATGTTTTTTGGCATAACAAGCATTGAAAATTAGATTTTACAGTGGACCCTAAAATCTAGTACCCAATACTACAGTAATTTTGATCGAGTAGCGAGTAATTTTGTAAAAAATATTCTACCCAACTCATAATTTTTTTTAGACACGTTTAGCAGCTAAATTACTTGCCATTCGATTAAATCACTCGTCGTTCGACTAAATTACTAAAGCAGTCCGAAATGGGTTCAGCGATATGATCTCTTTTATTGTCCGTTATTTTTCTGTATTCTCTTCACGTTTCTACTGTAAGAAAGATTCTCAAGTGGAGGTTGTCATATAAAGTTGTACAAACCAAAAACCAATGAAGAAGGTTACATTTAATGGAAAAATAGTTCAGTCACACCTATTCACGATCCTGCCTAAGCAGAAGCATTATCCATTCAGTTTTAGGCGAAATTTTATGAAATGACAAAAAAAACTAAATTATAATTATAGGGTATGAGGGCATTATCTCAGTCCTCGAATATGGTAACAAATGATGGGTGCATGACCATCACAGAGTATTGTGATATCCACGCTACCATATTGCATCAAGTGGGCCGTCAACTTGTTTGCATAATATATAATTTTGTTATATTTATACTGATTGCAACATAAATGAATTAGCTGTCGAGGAAATCACGTCACCTGACGTACATTGTACCACACACTACGTTATTACAATCCTAAAAAGGTCAGAATACATGTGAGCCATTTGTTGAAACCTGCCCCCAGGGTACAAGCAATGTACGCAGTGTTATTTGACTAATTCCATCTGTTCTTCTAAACATTAATCCCGTTGTCTCTTTTATTCTTACTGGACTATTGCTGTTATTTATTTAAACGGTATTTAGATGATATTTTTGTAACATCCTAAATCTTAGATGTAACTTTACATAAATTAAGCTAAATTTTATAATCTAGAGTGCGGGCAATCTTTTTGGCAAATGTTATTGAAATATTTTTAATTGTTTAAATTTAAGTAAGTAATAAACCGACCGAATTTAAGAAAGTAACCGACATAGCCCGAAGGATAAGTAAGTTGAAGTGGCAATGGGCTGGTCACATAGCGCGAAGAAACGACAACCGATGTGGAAGAAAGATTCTTGAGTGGCGACACACATAATACAGGACGACATTTCACCAGATGGAGTGACGACATGAAATGTATTGCAGGGAGTCAGTAGATGCAGGTGGCTCAGGCGTCTCTTTCTGGGAATCTGTGGGGGAGGCTTATGTCCAGCAGTGAACGGATAATGACTGAAATGATGACGACGAGGAAGTAATATAAACATTGAAACATTTTTAATTTTTTTCATATTTACGAGTTTAGTACGCAGTACCTATTGACACAAGTATCTTTAAAAAAGTCTACGAACCTAGACTTACTTCACCAGAGTGAGACTTTGTACAAAAGTCGTTTGCTTGGGTACCTCTGTCCCATTCGTGTTTCAACCGTAAAGCAGTTGTGTTTGCATGGCTGTGTATCGGTTTTAAGGGATATGGCGTGAGTTTACAGAGTACAGAGGAATAACACCTGAGTCCTCAGTAATGGCAACGCATGGGGGGTATCATGGGCAAAACAGTACACTCTGTTATGTTTATGGTACTGCTCATGTCTATAGGCGACGGTTACCACTTTCCATCAGGTGGGCCGTCAGCTTGTTTACCATTCTAAGTTGCATAAATAAATACCTTTCTTTCCCATCGATTGTCGGTTCTTTGAGCTATGTAGCTCGGTAATGAGCTAGCTATGTAGCTAGCTCATTACCACTTCAGTTTGCTATATCGGTTATTTTGGTTCTTTTACCGATATCCTTGTTTTGGATTCTAAGAGATGCGGTATGCACGTAACTAATTTTTAAACAAATTAAAAAAAAAAGAAATTTCCCAATTTCATTTTATTTTATGTTGCCCTCTTTTTCCTAACTTAAATCTAATTTTAATAAGTTTTTTTTAATTTACTTCCTTATTGATCTCACATTAAAGACACATGCACTATTTCTTTTTCTAAATAACGTTTTATTTATTGTAATTAGTATAGGATTCATTTAGTACTGCTTTGAATTGGAATTGTGTTTAGAATTGCTATAAATAATGAATAAATGTTGTGAAATTTCTCTCTTTAATTTTTTTTATTACTTAAAATTACTGTGTATAAAAAAATACAATATTTATACAGTATTATATTGGTACGCAAGTATGGGTACCATTTTTGGAAATGAGGGTGAAAATGGTACGGTAACTCCGCCTGCGCTAATGGGATACGCTGGCGGAGCACCAGTGAAGGGTGATAGATGAGAATGAAAACAGGCCAGTTTGCCCATCATGATTAATTCATCAGGAATTAACCATGATAGTTTACAGGGAGAACCGCGAGTAGGTCGAACTGGTACCCAATATTGCTAGCAAAAGCATTCTCAGTCTCCATTACTAACAATCCCTAGATATTACTCATCAATACTAGATAATGATACCCATAGGGGTATGTGTACCATTATCTGTATTGATTTTATATCTCGTAATTGGATTTATAAAAGCGAACTGTAAACCTTCCAACAAATTCTATAAGAGATTTAGCACAATAATAAAAAATCACAATTTCTGTAGTAAAATTTTTCTCTAATCAACTAATTTTGTCAAAATAGAATTCAGAATTATTTATTTATTTATTACATTACATCTACTGGATGAGCTTTACAGTCTTCCAATACGCTCACCCAGCAAATAATCAATAGAATAACATATATAAAAAGGAATAATACACATAAATAAATTTAATTTCAAAATTTCTGCACACAAACACCATGTGGTCATTCGACGAAACTCCAGCAAGTTAGAGGCAAATACATCCAATTGCGGATACCGGTTCAACATATCATTGAGTAGTTTCAATGCAAGAGAGAGGGGAACTTGCTTAGCCAATTAACGAAGTGTCGCTGTTTGTTACAGATAATGACGTCGTAGCAGCAAACTGTGATGATAATACAATAACTGAAGATGAACGCCAGAATGTTACATGAGACGTTAAGACCAGAGGCAGTGAAAAAGAAAACACTGCAATTGTAAAACTGAAATACAAAAGACTGTATTATACATACTATTGTAATGATGAAAGGTAAAACGGTGAATTTGAAGATATTCAGGTGTAAGAAAGTGTGTGGAGTTCGAGTGAGGGAAATAAAGGAAACGAGATAAAGGTAAGGTATTGTGGGTATTGCCATTGTTAGAGATTTTTCAAGTTTTTTATACGCCCTTTATGATTTCGACATCGAAAAAACTTGAAATATTGAATAGAAATATAATAATAAATGAATAGTTGAATATATTAGAAAATAAACAGAAAGTAGACAAAATTTTAATATATAAAAGTTACGTCTCTTGATTTTTATTTACGCTAATCTTTGAAACCATTCAACCAATTTTAATGAAAATTTGTAAATATCTATTATTTATTCCAACGTGAGAGATAGAATATTTTTTACCCCAAAAAGAAAAAATTACTACAGTGGGCGATAGTAAATGGTAAAACAATATCTGCTAGTTCAACTATTTATATAATATTATTATATTTAGTCAAGTAACTAATTTATTGTAGGATTCTGAAAATATTTGTGTTTAATTTTTATATACGTCTTACTTTTCATTAATATTTAGTAATATATTAGTATACAAAAACCTAAAATATACTGACGTCCATCTAACTTTTTAACAACTACTATTAACTGAAAACAATTACGTGCATGTCTGTAGAGAAAGCCTTTTAAAAACTAAACCAATTTTAGTGTTGAAAACCTTTCAACGAATAGTTGTTGTAACTTTCCATTTTGTTACTGTTAAGTAATAGTTAACCAATATACATATATGTAGTTGGATCTAAATAAATACTGACACTGCACTGATTCGTCATTTAATTAATTGCATTTAAGACTTTTTTTTTAATCTGATGGAAATATTTAAACTTTGGGTGAAGTCCGTAAAAAATTTTACAATTATTTCCATATACCTTTTCGTGTGGATCATCTACATCTTACCGTAAAGTTTTATAAAGCCCACTCTTAAGTGCAGCTTTTATGATGCTATGGCATGATGTAATTATAAAAGTTTTGTCCATTTGACAACGGCAACCTAATATTGCACAGTCTAGTATATTTTACTGAAATAGATATTATTTGGCCGTGTGGTCCCGGCATAGAATAGGAAACCGCTTCCTTTCCTATGGGTGTCGTAAGAGGCGATTAAAGGAGGACAAGGGATGGCCAGCAGTTTTTCTCTTAAAGCATCTCTAAAGCCTGACTGCTGTTGCCTATCCGCCTGCCAAGCATTGTAATTACTGGAAAAACTCCTCAAGGGGGAGGCGTATGTTTAGCAGTGGACAGTTAAAAGCTTATATGATGATGATGAGATGATCTTGCGGAAGTCCATATCACTGATTATTTGATTAGAATTATTTTGTTTAATTCCGCTACCATTAGTATGTGTGTGCCTGCTAACACTCAAGCATTGATCACCATCATTACTATCAACAACACTAAAACTAAGCTACAGCGATCCAATAATTTACTTGAAGATGCCTCGTTTAGAGGTGTAACACGTGTCGCAAAACGTGCGTGGATAAAATGTCAGTCGGAGATTGCAGGCTAATATCTTCGACTGTTGACAGTCACACACATACTAATGGTAGCGGAATTAAACAAAATAATTCTAAACAAATGTCTAGTACATTTTGCTATAACTCTAGTTCATTTTGCAATAAGTTTTTTCGTTTTGTAACAAGTCCTATTTGTTTTACAATAAGTTTTATGACTGCAGGCCGCCACATATGGATCGGACGAACGTAACCAACGTCACGGCCAACGCAACCGGCGATGACTGGGGTGGTTACAATGCCACCAGCACCGATGAATGGACACACAGCATTATGTTTAAGTTCCGAACATGCATACTGCTGCTCATCGTCGTCATGGCAGTGCTGGGGAATTTGCTCGTCATCGTCAGTGTCATGAGACATAGGTTTGTAGTTTTAGTTTTATAGACCTTCTTTCATTTGGTATCATTGTTTTTCTATCGTCGTCATGGCGGTGCTGGGGAATTTGCTCGTCATCGTCAGTGTCATGAGACATAGGTTTGTAGTTCTAGTTTTACGGACCTTGTTTGTTATGGGATCATAGTTTTTGTAAATTTCTGCAGCTTTGCGATCCTTCTTGTAATTTCTCATATGAAGAAAGAATGATCTTTCTTTTTCTTTCCACTTTTTCTCTACAACATTATTTTAATTCATCCTATCATAAAATATGTGCTTAAAGATTTATTTTTAATACTTAACCGAATACCCACTTACACACGAGTCAGAAATTCGACAATCTTTTTAAATACATCAAATTTATCCTCCAAAGTTAAATAATATTACGAAATTATATGAATAGGTAAATATTGTCGCTAACTTTTAAAGAAATCCAATATCAGAGACCATCTTGTACTATTTATTTGTTTGTATTATTTTGAGTATTATTACGAGTTGAGTTTCTATGTAAAATGTGATAAGAAGAATTTCGATGACTTGATATAATGTTGAATAGCAATGTTTCTAAATAATATTTTACTTGTCTTTTATTTACTTTATTTAAACAGAATAATAGTACTATATTAAAATTTGTCTATAACAAGCTGTTCGCAATGTCACAAATGTCTGGAGATATCGGTATAGGCCATTTTAGATGAGCGTATATCGACTAAATAGGCGACGGTCTAAAGAAGGGCCAAATTAAAAGTACCCGTAATCAATCTAAAGATATATATATATATATATATATATATATATATATATATATGTATATGTATATATATATATATATATATATATATATATATATATATATATATATATATATATATATATATATATATATATATATATATATATATATATATATATATATATATATATATATATATATATATATATATATATATATATATATATATATATATCATTTATATTAATGACTCATGTCTGTATATCAAAGTGCAAGTATGTTTTTAAATATATAAATTTTAAATATGTAACTTAAACGACTGAGCGGATTTGAATGAACCTTAAATCTATTTTTATTCTTATTTATTCTTATTTTGTAACTACTTATAAGTGTTTATGTATTTATGGTTTGCTAATAAAAAAATCACAATGCTAATACACAATGTGCTTTCAGAAAACTCCGTGTCATAACCAACTACTTCGTCGTGTCCCTCGCCTTTGCCGACATCCTAGTGGCAATGGTCGTCATGCCGTTCAACTTTAGCGTCCAATTCAATCAGAGATGGGTCTTCGGCCAGACTATATGTGATTTGTGGAACTCCTCAGATGTGTATTTTACGTCGACGTCCATATTACATCTGTGCTGTATATCCGTAGACAGATATTACGCTATTGTGAAACCATTAAAATATCCCATCAAGATGACTAAAAAGGTTTGTAATACTTCTTTGATAGTTAATTTTTAAGGGCTTTTCCTTCATTTAGAGACATACTTTAGTGCCTTAACCTGAAGTATGAATCATCAACAAATCTTACCTTCTTGTATATTAAAGTATATCTTACATATGTGTAAGTATATTTGTTATTTATATATATTTCTTTGTTTATATATGTAAATTTTAGTATATATGTATATGAATTATCACTAGTACCTACCGCATTCGAGTATTCTAATACTTTCCTAAGGTTGAATTAGAATTTAATTAAAATTATACATACATATACTAATAAATAAATAAATAAATAAGAAAGAAGTAATTATTATTATTAATTTAGAGAAGTGTTAAAAAAACCTGCTTAAAGTTCAGCTACTATAATCAGAATAAGACCAACTTTTAATTTACTTGTTACAATCGAATTTGGTTCATAAATTTAAAAAGGTTTATATTTTTTATTTGTACTCATCAAAAGAATAAAAATAATCATTACATTAAATGGACTTTCAAAAAAGAGATTGTAAATAACATCTCTTTTTTTGAATAGTCGACTTTTTACGATTTCCCGCTGCGGAATGCTGTTATTTGCAAAGGAGAACCAGCGAGAAATTGGATAATTAATCTTTTCAAATCGTTTTACAAAATTATTTTTTGATTCGTTTCAAAAAGACGAAATGGAAAAATGAAATGCCATTTTAATTGATGCTCCGAAATAAGATTTAAGTGGAAAGTAATATTAGTAAAATAATTGTTAAATTGTGTATTGCAATGATTGTTGGGAACTTGGCGTTAGGGCAAATATATTGACTGACTTCGAAGCACATTGAAAATGACATTGAAAATACTTTTTTTTTAATATTGCATTCTTATTAACATGGTATATGTAGAGCATAGATTATAAAATTGACAGGTATAAATTGTAGCTTTAACAAAAAATACAACATGAATGACACGTTGTAATATTATATAAGTAGGTAGATATTATATGTATTTATAGTGTATGTATTTATATAATATTTTATTATATGTTTTAATATTTTATTTAACTGTATATTTGTTTATGTAATAATTAGTTGTAGCACTTCAGCTGCCCGCTAACGAAATGCTTTCTCACTGTATTGGGTTGACTGGAAGAGATCTCTGTCAGAGATAAGTCAACCCTTGCTCACAACATTTATAAATACATTATTTTATATGTAACTTACAAGTACTGTAAAGAATATATATAATTAAATGGCTTTTGCATGCCATTACGTAAGGCAGAATGTGTAGATTGGTATTCATTATTACTAATAAGATCATTTATGTAACAAATAAACAAATAAATGTATATATATATATATATATATATATATATATATATATATATATATATATATATATATATATATATATATATAAACTGTCTATTAATGTATCTAGTTTCTATGATTGAAATAGTTCTTCTGTGTTCTATACAACAACTTTTTTAGTTTGCTATTTTGAAAATAGTTTTCAAATTGGATATTTTTCCACGAATCTTTTCATTTGTATGAAATGAATACGACACGTTATATGTTTACTAACATGACAAGTGTGGTTTGTCGTTAGATACGTTTACATGCCAAATATTATAAATATCATTGTCAGTTATCTATTTTATGTTCATCTGTAAAAATATATAATGTTTTATCACAAACGGAGTAGGCGTTACAAATGGTAGAATTGTGGCATTAAATGACACCTACAACTATGAATACCGTGATGGTTTTTTTTATGCAACTTAGAATGGCAAACAAGCTGACGGCCCACCTGATAGAGAGTGGTAACCGTCACCTACAGACATGAGCAGTACCATGGACATAATAGAGTATACTGTTTTGCCCATGGTACTCCCATGCGTTGCCATTTCTGAGGACTCGGGTGTTATTCCTCTGTACCCTGTAAATTCACTGCCATATCCCACCCTTCAAACTGAAATACAGTCATGCAAATACATATGCTTCATGATAGAAACACGAATGACACAGAGGTGCCTTTTGCAAACGACTTTTGTACAAACTCTCCTTCTGGTTGCTCCTCTTGTTTGCAGTCATTCCCTGGGGATTTTTGTTATACATTACATCTATAATAATGTTTCTTGTTTGTAATATAGCGACATAGCTTGGTATTCTTTGTGAAAGAGATAATTTTCTACACTTTGCGTAGTTTTAATTTATGGTTCGTAATATTAAATTATATAAACCTCCGCAATAAAGGGGTTTGACAATTGTTGCCATGTGTAACAGGCGGCTTGACAATCGAAGTTAGGCTTTTAGTGATGTTATCATTAAGTACTCTTAGTTGCCTCTTACGACACCCACGCGAAAGGAAAGGAATAATAAAAGCATACTTGACTTCAATTATTTTGTCACTTTTAATCCATACCTATAAGTAATAATCTATTAAAATACAAGTAACAGTCAATTTGTAATTTAGCTGAAATTATGGAAACTTTAAAAATCTTCAAAACTTTGTAACTGATATCGCAAAACAAAGGAATATGGAAAAATATCTGCTCTTTACTCGAGAGAAGGATAAAATCCCAGAATTTACGGTCGGTCGAGATTTAGATGTTAGTATTCTGTTTGAAGATAAACAAACTAAACATTCATTGTAAATTTTTTTTTGTACAATAAACATGTTGTGACAAGTCGTAACAATTTCAAGAATAACATTTTTATTTGCTGTAACTAACTAGAGTGTAAATGAGAAGCAAATTAATAATTAAAATTCTAAATCTGTGAATGTTCAAATTTAATTTATTTGAACATTTATTTGTAATTGACGAGTTCTATAGAGTTTAGTATGCAAATGAGATCCGGGTTCCTTAGACGGAAGAATTTGGAATATGAACTTCCCAACATTGATTGATTTGTTTTGGATTACGTTACGGAATACTTCGTCCATAATGCAATAGCGTGAAAGTGAGTTTGGAATAAAGTGTCAGTTTGCAAATAAGATAATGTATGTTACGGTGCTCGAGGATACTCAAATATATGGCCATGTGAGAATGATACAATACATACACACAGATATACTCAAAAATAATGTACAGAAGCGAAATTATTAGGATAGTGTATCTTAATAATTTCACTTCTGTGCTTTTTTATATATTGAAATCTCTCTCAAATAATTTCACTTGTATAGAAAATCTAGTGCGCTTCCAGGGTTCATGTTGATTCTTTACTTTTAATAACTTAAGACCTATATTGTTACAACATGTGATAGCAATAAATGATTGAATTGAATTGAATTGAATCTTCTAGTGTATTATAAAAGTTATAAATACACAACAAGCCGTTGTTATCATTGGTACTAGTTTTCTTTTATTCACTTCATATAAGAACTAAATTTATTAAATTAAATAAAAAAATGTTGGTAACAAATTAAAAAACAGAAAGTCTCTTTTTTACCGACACTAAAAATGAATGTATTTAAGTGATTTTTATATATTTTTGTGATAATTATTTAGCTTTATTTTATTTTAAGACTATAAAACTATCATGGGCATCGGTAGTCACTTATCATCAGGTGAGCCGCATGCTCGTTTGCCCCCTGCGTTGTAAAAAAAAACTACCAAACAATTGAATACCAAAGGGAGACTTGGTACAAAAGTCATCTACTTGGGTATGTCTGTTCCATTCTTGTTAGTGCTGTGAAGCAGTTGTGTTTACATAGCTGTGTTTCAATTTGAAGGGTGGGATTTGACAATATTACAAGGCGTAACACTTCACTCCTCAGGAATGACAACGCATTAAGGGTGTCATGGGCGACACAGATACTCTATTATGTCCATGGTATTGTTCATGTTTATAGATGACGGTTATCACTTTCCATCGGGTGAGCCGTCAGTTTATTTGCCATTATATGTTGCAAAAAAAAACTCAATACGAGTTTTAATTATTACCACGATTGCAATCATTTTTATAAGTTTATTTTTTTTATTTATACTTTTGCACACATTAACACATTAGAAAATGTCTACAGGGCGGACTTAATGCCTGATAACATTCTCTACCAGTCAATCATATTTTAGATAGATAGATAGATGACCTTTATTACCATTATTAAGAAAATTAAAAATTAAAACAACAAAAAGAAAAAAGAACAATTAATGTTGCTGGTAATAGGAGCCGCCTCAGCTGTTATACAGTATATGTACAGCTTCAGCGAGATGTACCTATATAGCGCTGATTTTCATGCGGCCCCTTAACTCCTTTACCTTTAGCATGCGTGCGGGTCGCCAATACCTATTTCTTGGATGGGAGACTCAACACGCTTATATTCTTTAGTATAATGAAGCAGTTGTGTTTGCATAGCTGTGTTTCGGTTTGAAGGGTGGGATATAGCGTGAATTAACTGGGTACAGAGGAATAACACCTGAGTATTGTCACCTCAGGCATGGCAACGCATGGGGGGTATCATGGGCGAAACAGTATACTCTGTTATGTCCATGGTACTGCTCATGTCTATAGGCGACGGTTACCACTTTCCATCCGGTGGGCCGTCAGCTTGTTTGCCATTCTAAGTTGTATAAAAAAAAAAAATTATCTTTTCACTTTTAATTCTAACAGATCATTTGTTATTTCAGATGGCATTCGTCATGTTAGCGGCAACATGGCTGAGTCCCATAACAATATCATACGTCCCAATATTCATGGGATGGTATACAACTGCTGATCATTTGCAACATCGAACCGTTGACGAGTGTGAATTTAAAGTGAACAAGCCATACGCTGTTATATCTAGCTCAATATCCTTTTGGATACCGTGTACGATAATGATATTCACGTATTTAGCGATATTCAAGGAGGCCAATCGCCAGGAGAAGGCATTGCACGCGAGAGCCGGCAACGCTATGCTGATGCACAGGCATTCCAGGGAAGTTGGCGATAAAAACGGTGCTTTACACTTAAACGCCAACACCCCAACGAAAGATAGGAATATCCTCAAGATGAAGAGAGAGCACAAAGCAGCCAGGACTTTGGGCATCATCATGGGCGCATTCATTCTATGTTGGTTGCCATTCTTCCTGTTCTACGTATCCACATCGCTCTGCGATACGTGCAAGTGCCCTGATGTTGTGACCGTTATAATGTTTTGGACTGGTTACTTCAATTCAGCGTTGAATCCAATAATTTACGCGTACTTCAATAGAGATTTTCGTAATGCGTTCAAGAACACGTTAGCTTGTGCGTTCTGTAGTTTTTGTAGGCGAAGTGCATCGGATTTGGACGCTATGGAAAGGCTCGACAGACGAGGCTCCGCCCAGTTACGGGTTCCCGTACCGTCAAGGAGAGCTTCGGACTTGGCGTCCCTTTGAACCTCGAAGTGTGAAGCGACATATGTTTGAGGCCTAGTATAATCTCAACGAAGTATTTTAGGCCAATAGAAAGATGTACTTAATTCTGTTGTGACTGAGTTTTATAGTAGATATGTAAAAATTGTACAGATAATTGGATTAAAGTGTGGAGTACCAATTAGAAGAAAACTTGGTCGGTCAGTAAAGCACAAAGTATGTAATTAGATATAAATCTATTTAGATTTTTAATCGTTAGGCAACTAAAATTAATGTTTCCAAAACATTTAGTTAGTGTGAATGTAATTAAAATTTTATGTTATTACCAAAATAAAATAATTACCAAAATAAATTAAATAAATATTTTTAGCAACAATTTATTTCTTAACCAAAGAGTTTTGTTGTTTTTCGTTCTTACTGTTATTGTACGAGTATATAATTATAGTTAATACATATTTAATGGATCAACTAGGTTACGAAATGAAATTTTCGGTTTCAGAACAAACCTGTAATTATACTAATAACTCTATAGTATATATTGAATATATAATAAATAAATTATTCTCTGTGTAAAATAAATTATTAAGTATAATATTTATTATTTTATTACCACAAGTATAATTTTTATTTTAAACATATTATAAATATTAATAACCATTTTATGTATTATGGTATATATACTATAAAACGAATTGTCTACAAGACTAGATAAATCTAGTATAGATTTGATAGAATAAAATGTAAATATATAATTATAATAAATTATATAGGTATAATTTTAAAAAATATTATAAAATAATCTTTGTTATTTATATTACCAATTTATTTAATTAATGATATTTTGTTGTATAAGATGCAGACATATAAGTTAAAAATAAATTAATCTGTCATTAACTTAAATCGATAATTTCTCTTAATTTAATTTGTACTTCTCTTTAATCTGGTCGGTTTATACATTGACATGCTCTAAGTCAGGGTCTCCTTTCTAATTTCTTAATAGTATTTTCTTTTGTCGAATATTCATGTATAGCTATGGTATTTTTTTTAAATTTAGTCTTTATATTAAAGATTACTTCTATTCTGTTAAATAAAGAGTTTATTTATTATATAACTATTCAGTAACATATTTAGGACATCATTTGAACAATGTATAAACCGACTAAGTTAACATGCTTATTATTTATGAGAAAACCAAGGTAACAAAGTAACGTATTACCATAGTAATAATTTTCATATTGTACTAAAAATTTGTGTCCTGTTTTTATTATAATTATATAAATTATTAATTGTATATTTTAAATTAAAATATGTAATAATAATGTTAGTCCTTCCTATAAGGCCGATTTTATTGTAAGGCCTAAATAATTCAGATGTATCATCCCATTGTATAGAACAGGCCAAAGTTGCATTGTAAATATTAAAAAAAAATATTGTTTTTTAGCTGTATAATATATTTATTTATATATATATATATATATAATATAAATAAATAATAATAAATATAGACAATTAATAAGACACTGATGTAAGACATCAGTTATAAAATAATGGATATTTTAAATACTTTTTTATAAGATTAAATAAATATTTACGTGATTATCAATCATCGCCTCAAAATTATTTACAATTTTTTTAATTGTTTTCAAGATTATATTTATTTTATATTTTTATTAGTTATGTTTTTGTTTTCAATGTATATATTCATAAATAGGTCATCACAAACTATATATATATAAGTATGTATTTTGTAAATACTATAGTTTAGTATGGTACAGACACTTAGTAAATAAATAATTTCTTTTAAACTTTAATAGGAAGATACTATAAAATATGGGGACAAATAACGCTTCAATAGAGAAAAAAAAAACAATTTTTAAAATAATTATTGATGTGCTACGATTAATTAACAATCCAGTTAGATTTGGTGTGTCAGTGTTGTGTCGGAAACTGTTTTAATATATAGTCATAATATTAAAAGTACTAACTCGACTAATTCTTGGGCGTCTTCAAACATCTTCGATACTGTCAAGAAGGATTTTTTGAGCGTCTGTATATATATATTTCTCCTAACAATTGTATGTCTGAACGTTAATTTAAAATATTAACGTTAATTTAAATTATTAAAAATAAAACAAATTTTAACTTTATGAAAATAATGCAAAAAATGAGTGAATTTTAATGTAAAAACTACCGGTTTAACGTAACTGTAATTAGATCGAAAAAACTCAACTAGTTTCAGGATCAGTTCGTGATCCTTATTCATGAGGAGCTGTGATGCGAGCACGAGCCTGACTACGCGCCTAATCGATCTAATTACACGTAAGTTAAACCGATAGTTATTACATTAAAATATAATGTGTGTTTACGAAAATTTTAACAATTAAATCATTATTACAGCCTGTATCTATTCACTGCTGGACATAGACCTACCCCTATGCCTTCCACCATATACGACCCTGCTCTTTTCCCATTCATTCATAACATCGTTTTGATTTTTTTCATATATCATTCGCTCAAAACTCCTTATTGATATAACATCTCCGTAAATAGAGATTCGGTTTATCATTTCTTCGCTAAAAAATAAATAAATAAAATGTTTCTTATTGGTGTCCATTTAAATGTAACATTAATTACCAATAGCTTTAATATTTAGCTTTGCATAAATACATTTAAATTATTATAATCGATTGATAAAGAAAATCTCTATTTCTTTTTATCTAACTAAACCTGAAAGAGTTTATATTTTACATATTTAAAAAAAAACTGGCATATGGTTGATAGTCTATCAATCAGTGATTTAAATTCATATTTTACTCTTCAAAAATTAGTACTGAAATTTAATTTAATTATTTATATAAGTATATAACACGATTGTGTGTATATTTGTTATTCATATTAAAAAAAAATAATCCTATCACGGTAAAATTCATATCGATATATTGAAGTTCACCAAGTGAATTATGACTATTTTATTATTAAAAAAAAAAGAAGGTTACATTTTAGTTGACAAGTTACTAGTGAGAGGAATGTGCATAAATGTTGTATTACTTAGATTATATAGATAGAGCATGTCAAAAACAGTTTGTCAAAAATAATTCAACATTTAGTCAGCAAATTTGACATTTGACAGATTCAACTTGACACTTTTTTTCAGTGTTGCAAGTAATTATATTAAAAATTTTCCAGACCAGGTCAAGTTTTTACATTTGAAACGAGAACCACTTTATAAATGTACGTACACATGTATTGTTTACAAATTAATATATGTATAAAATTTAAATAGCAGCCATTTTAAATTATTATTTAAAATGGCTGCTATTAATAATATATCAATACAGTTAATAAAGCTACTCTGTTTATTTTATTCTTTCAAATATATGTCATAGAATTTTGTATTATTTTATTTTTCAATTTGACCTTACAATATAATTTCTCCCATAAATTGAGTAGTAAATATGCATTATGGTAACCCTATTCACGCAAACATGAATAAAAAAGTTGACCTGTATTTGATGAAGCATTTGTATGAAGATACTCTATCTATATAATGTAAGATTGTATATTTAATATGAAAATATAAATATATAATAAAGAACGCTCCGAACTAAATATCATATTAATTTTTTAAACGCTTTCATTAATCCCACTTAATCTTTTCCATGATATTGCTATTGTAAATTCAATGTGTCTTCCTTTTGAATAAGTAATTTAGGCTCAACTTAAAATAGTAAAAAAAAAAAAATACATAGTTTAGTATAACGAATATGTAGCCAATTTTTAGTGTCTGACCTAAATTGGTGTGTGTTTAAAAATCTCACATACGGGCTGTATTATGTAAAATGAGTAATAATACATGGTTGTGACTTCTATAGATATTACAACTGACATACTAACAATATTAATCGTATCTGAATGTTTCATTCTAATATTGAACCTTTCTGTTAAGTTTAGACGACTGAATACCTTTGTTTAGTTTTAGTTACCATTCATATACGTTAAGTTATAAAAATATTTTTTTTCAGATCCGTCCAATTATTGTTTCGCCACTGTTTTTTATCTCGTTACACTAACTAACATCGTTTCTATTGTATTTTAGAGAAAATAAATTATATAATAATAAAATTTTATTTCAAATTGAATACCTTGTGAGAATCTATTTGAATATTACATCGGGAGTCTGTTCACAGAATTTGAATTTGTCAACAATAGACATTGCTGAGGTTTTCAAGTGAAAATCCTCTTATAGTCATATTACGTTTAAATGTATCTTAAAATACTCTATATATGTATATCTTCGTTATAGTAATCACGGTACATGCAAGCATTCTGTACATTTAATTTCTTGTAAACGTTGCTTATATCTGCTTGTTCCTTTATTGGGATATAAATATTCTTGATTAAAAATTATTTCTAGATTTAATTATCACTATATATTATATATTTAACACTAAACCTACCAAGTGTAATCAAATGACCGTTTTTGAAATTTAGTTTAAAAATTTTCATGTATAACGTTGCTGTATCACCATGTAACTTATCGACTTTTCCTGTAATATACATACAACCCATTTTTCAATATTCACAACTTACTATTATTTACTTGTTTACTATCCAATGGGCTAATTTACTCTTTCTATATTAAGAAACATACTTTATTTTAAAGCGGTCATTTGACCACTCATAGTAGGATTAGGTATATACGAAATATCGGTAGGTTTAGTTTTAAATACGAAGCAGCATGACTTTTTTATATTTATGTAAGATCACTTTTATTACTTATAAAACCGTAAAATTTCAATAAATCTATTTCAACTATAAGTGTCACTTTCTTACAAATTAATATTTTAGTTTAAAAGAAAGAGACGAAGTATTTAAATACATAAAATTTGAGGATTAAGTGACAGAAATCTCTTATACTAAAAGGTGATATCTGCCTATAACTAACTGATATATTTATTTATAGGCAGATAACACTTTTTTATTTTTTTTTTCTTATCTTATGTATGTAGATTTGAGTTTTAATGTTTAAATTGTTGACGGATTAATAAATGAATAAATTTCGAAGAAATTTAGATGCAAATTATGTGAACTGACTTCAAATGTATATAAATTTAATACCAATTGTATGTATTTTATAAATGTAGTTAAATAATAACAATTAACACAGCAATATGTAAATTTTAAATCATTAAATGAAAGTAGTATCTGTGTATAGAATAGAGGTTTAGTGTATTCAGTCTGCATCTGTCATATTAAATGTCTAGAAATAGTTGACTCAGAGTACGTGAAATAAAAAATGGGATCTTTTCATTTATAACAATGTTGTAGTACTTCTTTTAGTTTGATTACATCCAAGAGTTGACAACGGAATATTAAATTATACCAGTTCAAATAACTTGTTTTTTCGTTTTAACCATTTTCATGATGTTTTTTTTTCTGTTAAAATAATACTTTCTATTTATTCAAAGCAATCCCTTAATGTAATTCAGTATTACTCTCTCTTTAAAGTAATTTTGTATTCTTATATATATATATATATATATATATATATATATATATATATATATATATATATATATATATATATATATATATATATATATATATATATATATATATATATATATATTACGCCTGTTGCCTATTGTAATAGGCAGAAACAAATCGGTATTGAAAAGTTATAATTCAACAGAAATATCTCATTAATTTTATGTACACTTTTTTAGATTAGTCTATTGTTTTCGAACTATGTTATTATCATCATCAGCATATCAGCCGTTTATAGTCCGCTGATGAACATAGACGTCTCTCTTAATGGGTTTCGCCAATAGTTTCCATTCTTAGCAATCTAGTTAATAACCACAGTTCAGCTTTGGTGATGTTTTAAGAGAGAAGCTGTTGTATTGATGGGGGTTACATGGGGGTACAGCATGGGGTTCTTCAAAAGGGGGGTAAAGAGGTTTCTTCAGGGTCGGCAACGCGCGCGTAATATCTTTGGTATTGCAGGCGTTCATAGGCTACGGTAACCACTTACCATCAGGTGGGCCGTATACTTGTTTGCCACCTCAGTGGTATAAAAAAAAAGTTGACAACAGGACAAGGGATAGAGGGCCTTTAACCATTAAATTCCCTTAGTTGATACCCATGGGAAAAAAGAACTGTGTATCTAAATACAATCCATTCAATCTTTTCAGATAATTCATATATCCTTAATGAACGTGTATTCAATTAGAAACAGCTAATGCACAGACAAGATTTTTTTCTTGAATTTGAATGTTAAAATTTATTTATTCCATTTTAAATTGGGACATTACATTATCTGGAGGTACATTAACATAATGCATGTTACCTTAGTCGCCTTTTCCTTTCCTTTTTCCTCTTCTATTATCTAATTTTTTTTTAATGGTTACATTTGATTTGATCCATTCGTCACTTTTAATTTTCATTATATATGTATATATTTGTCTCTTTTACCTCGTTTTTGAACTGTGATAGTTTATATTCCTCAATACCAGTGTTGATATTACTAATTTCATCACAATATTTGTTATTTGTTATTCAAATTTTGTTACATTTTAAGAATTTATTTTAAAATATTATAATATTTGCTCATAGATGAAAAACAAATAAATCACTAACCATTATATTTAAAATCGTTGTAAATATTCTTTTTATTGCCAGTCGTGATAGAATATATTATATTATATTATTATTGCTATTATAAATTTATTAGATACGTTTAAATTATTTGAAAAAAAAAATGATGCATTGTGAGATTTTAACCTTAGGTATTTACCTAATATGTGCGTGTAAACATATGCTTTTTGCAAAATAAACGAAAATTGTTTCGTATATAATAATGCTTTGTTTTATTTTCAAAATCTTTATCGACCCAAAAGGTGAATTCAGAAAAGTGTAAATAGCTACAATAAAGGAAGGGCTGTAACATAGAATGTGTAGGTTAAAAGAACAATGCAAGAATTATCTACTTTAATATTAGAATAAGAGTTAAAAAGAGTTAGTATAAAATTAAAGAGAGTAAATGAAAAGAAATAGAATGTATTACGAGGTAAAACATAAAACAAATTAGGATCAAACTAAAAAGACAAGAAGAAGAACAATCGATTTGTATATATAATGTAATCGAGCAACAAAAGAATGCTCTTACTCCAAAGATAATTTCAAATTAAAATGACTATGAGAAAACAACAAAGAGTACAATAAAATACGACCTTAAATATAAAAAGTTAGGTCTAAAGGAACAACGTGCAAAATTATCTAAGAATGCCCAGAAAATTATAAATTTCAATCACAAAATAATGCTTGAAAAGTCCATTCTGTGAGTACTAAAATCATCCAATATTTAATAAGAGGATTAAGAGGAAAACCAGATTTCGTTACTTTTTCTAAATCTACCTTTAGATAGAAAATTATTCCGAGAATTAGATCCGGTTTCTGGACAGTCGAGGTCGATGACTACAGAGGACATTTTAAATTTAGCCGCATTATTGTTATACTTATTGCCTGGTATTGTTGAGGATAGATAAAGTATATATTGTACCTGTCTAAACAAAAGGACATTGGACAATATCGTAAAATTTTGAACTTCAAAGTATTCTAGAGAATACGCTATAGTTATGATTAATTATTTGGTAAATATTTGGATCAATAGTAGTCTATTGTCAGGAATAGTACCGTATCAGAGGTCATAATATTGTTATGAATAAATTAAATTGAATGGAATTTTTTTTTAATGGGTGATAATGCAATAGTAACCTCGCCTCTGCTAACAGTATATACCGGCGGGGTACCAGTGAAAGAAGATAGATGACGGTGAAAGCAGGTCAATTAGCCCATCGTGAAGAATTCCACGAGAAGTAACCACGATAGTTTCCAGGAGGAACCACGTGAAGTTCGACCTGATTAGTAACATTGCTAACATTGGGGCTGTTAAGCCCCATCGCTAACAATTCCTTTTCCCCCTGAATACTACAGAGTGAATGATCTTCGTGATGCTGTTTATATTCATAGGCAACGATTACTATTTTCATCAGGTGAGTGGGTCAGCTTATTTGCTATTTCAACGTATATAAAAAATAACAATTGAGCGATCAAGCGACGAAAGAGAATTTTTCCCGCTTGATCCAGTTTCGACTTTAAACTAGAATAAACATATACAATTTATTTTAAATATGTTACTGAACTAGGTGTTATATTGCGGATGTCTATATTCTAGTTGATCGATTATAATTATTTTCTATAATCCGCTACCATTAGTATGTGTAGAAACATGTGCGTGGACCGAATAACGGTTGGAGATTGATGAATGTAATGGAATTTTTTTTTTACAACACGAACGAGCATGCGGCTCACCTGATGGTAAGTGACTATCGCCACCCATGATCATCCACAACACCAACGGCATTGCAAGTGTGCTGCCGGCCTTTTAAAAATGAATATACTCTCTTCTTGAAGGTTATGCTGTCGTATCGATTCGGAAATACTGCTGCTGGAAGTTGACTCCAAAAAGTGTTTGTGCGTGGAAGAAAATGCCTTGGAAAACGCACGGTGGAAGAACGCCACTCGTCCAGATGGTCGGGATGAAATTTTTGTTTAAGGAGAGTTGTACGATAGTGAAAATCGGCAGCAGGTATCAATCCAAACAATTTCTCAGATTGTAGATCTAAGAATCAAGATTGTAGAACTTCTAATGATAGTAATAATCTATTTTCAAATATTGGTCATCGCACACACACTAATGGTAGCGGAATTAAACAACATAATCCTAATCGATCTTATTTAAATTCATTTTACGATTTGATGAACGATTGTTCGAGTTTTCAATCAAAAAATGTGAATAAATTTCACCGTTCTATATAGGTAAGTATAGAAAGTATTTCAAATATCCATTTTATCAAGCTTCTACATTTATCACTTGTCAAGTCAGGATAGGTTCTTGGAGGGCCGTTTCGGTCATAAATCAACGAGATTTGCATATGAATGGCCCGCTTCAAATGATATCATTTCGGTACGATTCTACTAATTTTATTTCACAAGGTTTATTGTGCATTCCAAATTTTATTTTATTGGCAAATTATTGATGTGGACTCGTGCCAGACGCGGTTGGATATCAATTGAGATACATCTAATTTATTTCCAAAAAAAGGACTTTATCTGTTTTGTTTTTTTGT